TCAGATATCCTGTAAAAAAGGCAAAGCTTACTAAATTAAAAACAACACAAAAGGAGAATAAAGGGCAGGGAGAAGCCAACAGAAAACAAACAGCACTTATGGTGATGATCTTGATTGAAGCTGCTAAACAACCATTTAAGTTTAAACAGCTGTCATTTCATTGGGTGTTACATGTATGTAGCAATGAAGGTTGAAACTAGAATCCTACCTTACAATAAGACATAGGATAATAAATATTCCACTATTTGCTAAAACAGTGTCTCGATCCCCAACAGATAACTCACAAACACTCATTTATGATTTTTTTCCAAATGCACTAAAATTTGGATTGGTAAGACAATACTGAGTGCCCCCCAAAAATTGGTAACCAGTCAACTCGCCGACGGACCAACTCGCCAACGCCAACTCGCCGACGTATAAAATCGAGAAGAGACGTCGGCGAGTTGGTCGTCAATCCAATACAACTTATTAGAAGTTAAACATACAGAAAAGTAAATGATATTTAGTAAAAAAACACTGGTGAACATCTAACAGAAGCTTAAACATTGGTGAACATTGGTGAACATCACCAATGACTATAACAGCTTAAGACGCGAACGAGTTATCGTGCGACAACAACACCGTAAAGACTCATCATGTCAATCGCTCAGATTTTTTAACGAAAACTTGGCTTTCTAGACAAGATCTTTAGTAAAAAGCATTTCTTTTTATTTGCAACAAAGTTTATAAGGATCTCAAGGCGAATAAAGTAAAGTAAACATCGCCAATGACTACATCCGCTTCAGACGCGAACGAGTTATTGTGTGACAACAACACCGTAAAGACTCATCATGTTAATCGCTCAGATTTTTTAACGAAAACTTGGCTTTCTAGACAAGATCTTTAGTAAAAAGCAATTCTTTTTATTTGTAACAAAGTTTATAAGGATCTCAAGGCGAATAAAGTAAAGTAAACATTGCCAATGACTACATCCGCTTCAGACGCGAACGAGTTATTGTGTGACAACAACACCGTAAAGACTCATCATGTTAATCGCTCAGATTTTTTAACGAAAACTTGGCTTTCTAGACAAGATCTTTAGTAAAAAGCAATTCTTTTTATTTGTAACAAAGTTTATAAGGATCTCAAGGCGAATAAAGCGACGTTAACAGCGCCAATGAACAAAATTGGCTGTAGACGCCAATGAGTTGTGTGAGTCATTGGTGATGTTTACCAAAAATTATATCACTCCAAATTTATTGGAGACATCAAGTTAGTATACAGTTTGCAAAGATTGCTTTCCTATTCATTTCTTAATCCACAGTTCACATATATGATTTTAATAGGGTGTTACTAAACTGTGGATTGGCAAACTGCAGAACCACCAGAATGTGTGGAACCCTAAATTCTTTGTAAAAGAATAATAATTAAATAAAATATAAAACTAAAAAGACCTTAACACTGTTTGAAAGTTCATTTTTGAGTAAGGAGATTACTTTAAAGGAAAAATATGTTTTAATCTTTCTTGACATTTAACTTGACTGCAGCCACATTTACAAGGATAGGTAATGTCATAAGGATCAATCAATCAGCAGTCACCTACCCTGAGAGTTAATAACTGAACCATAATTTGAAAGCCCTAACAGGTTGGGTACTGTGATATCTGAGTAATGCCTCGTCAAAAAGCTCTCAGCAAACCTTTAAGCTTGAATTGGTGGCCTTTAATTCCATTTCATTGTACATGACTCAGGAATGAGGAACACCAGCATAAAGTTACATCATTGCCTGTGATGCATTATTATAAAAAACTTGTTGTTTTATTGTTTTTTGGTGTGTATTTCATTTACCCATTAATTTCCTGCTACTGTTTTTACCTTTTATTAGTTTTACTTGTGGTTGGTGTTGTTACCATTGCGTGATGTTATGTAATAATGTCAAGAAATTTGTCAGGTTTTAAGTATAAATTTAGTCCTGTGGACCAATTTTTAAGTTCACTTTAAAGGAGCAGGGTTGTCATTTTTTGCCTGCATAGCTATGCACTGTAATGGTAAATAATTTCTTTATTGTGAGTTCATTGGTAAATTTTCCCTCTTTAATATGTATTTTCCTACTCATAGGCATTTGAGTATTTTTAAATAAATGATGAACACAATTACATATGACTTCAGTTACATGCCTGTAGAATTTCAGGGTGATTGGGGGCATCCAGCCTCACGAATTCTCAGCCTTTTACCTCTAGTGGATTAATTTGGTTGGCATTACTTACAGACCTATTTTAGAAAGGATTATGTAGAGGGCTAGGCAGATGAACAAAAACCAAGCTAAATTTCCCTCAATCAGCCCAAGAAATTCACAAAAGATACAAAACCACTTAAGTGGGGTAAATTTTTCTCTTTTAACGTTATCTTCTTCATACGCAAAAATGAAATTTCGAACAGTGCTAAGGTGTTAATATTTTTAGCTTTCATTTTATGTTATTCCTAGGAATTCTCAAAAATTCCCAACTATGTAAATAAGCTCTGATTTGAAAAGCTTGGAACTACTGGGAATTTCTGGGAAAGGAAGACTCCGGTTTTGTGAGGACTTGGAATTCCTTGGAATTCCTAGGAATTCTCAGCTATACAAACTACCTATAATTTAAGAAGGACAGAATTCTTGGGAATTTCTGGGAATTAAATTTGAGGCAATTTAAATACCCTCAAGTCCAAATAAATTCCAAGAAATTCTCAATACCTTGAATGTGATTACCCCTTGACTCCCAAGAGTGCTAAGTCAAAATTGAGAAGAAATCTTTGAATTTCAATGAGTACAATAAAAAAAAAACAAACAGTAAAACATGAAAGTACTGGTTGACAGCTTACATTTCAATGTTCACACACAAGAGCTTTATCTAAAGAAGTTACAACCACATAAAATCAAGTCAAAGCTTGACTCTGGGAGCAAGAAGGTTAAATACCATTTGTATCATCATCCAAAATTAAAAGATTCATTTCAAGACTATTTTTTGACGGCTAGTATTTATTGCAATAACCATAATTCAAGTTATTGTATTTTATGGAAAAGAATCAACAGATTTTATTGACAATTTGTGTCAAACCAAATTTAATGATTGATTAGGACTATTTATAGGAATAGCTGGAGTTGACAATAATTCTTACGAAGTTTTCAAGAAAAGAAAAAGAAATAAAATTCCATCCTAAAGAAAATCCTGAAAATTCCTTGGAATTTCTGGCAAGTTTTTAGGAAAAGTCATTGCATGGTGCTCTCAGTTGGAATTCCTAGGAATTCCCACAAATTCCAAGTCCTGTTGGCTATTAACTTGGAAGTTCTGGGAATTTCTAGGTTTTAAGAACCAGAGTTGTTACAATTGGGAATTCCTAGGAATTCCCAGTCTGAATTACTGTGAAAATTCACACCTCTTGTTCCTAAGAGTTCCTAAGAATTCCAAAATCCATTTTGCAAGGGAACAAAACTAGTGGTTCCACTTGTTCCAGAGGTTCCACAGTCTGCTTATCCATAGTTTAGTAATACCCATAGTAATTAGCTCACAAATTCCTTGTTTTCTAGTCCTAAATTTTGCCAATAAATCCACAAGCATCAGTGTATTACTGTATGAGTATGATCAGGCCCCGGTTGTTCAAAGCTGGGTTAAGGTAACCCAGGGTTAGTGTGAAATTTGATTTCAGGTCTGAAAACTTTAGGAGAAAATTCAGTTCAAATCTTTTTGCTTGCAATTTGATCACTGGATGTTCTAACAAGAATAGTGAAAATTTTTTATTTTAAAGACTTTTGAACAAAGAAATAAAGAAAGCTGGATTAAAATTTAGCCCTGGGTTACGGCTAATCGGCCTTTGAACAACTGTGCCCTGATCTAATAGAAAGTCAAAATAATTATAAACATGCTTCGGGGAGTGGCTTATCAATATGCATCACATGTGTAAGTTCTTCATTTTGAGAGCACTTTCACTTTCGAAAGGGGAAGAATAATCTATCCTGGTAATCATGACTCCAACCTTTGGTCATAATTATAAATAGAACACAATTTAAGAACTCATGGCCTTCACTGTTAGTAATTCTGTGTGAAAACGCTTGGAAAATGCAGCGTTCGCGCGTTCCGGAAAACTATAGAAAAGCGTTCTGGAAAACAAGCTAAACACTAGCGTTTTCGTGGAGCATTAAAACAATCGACAAACATCATGTTTTCATGGCCTTCACCATCTGTAATTCCATGTGAAAAACGCTTGGAAAATGCAGCGTTCGCGCGCACGGGAAAACTATGGAAAAACGTTCCGGAAAACAAGCTAAACACTAAGGTTTTCGTGGAGCAGAAAAACAATCGACAAACATCATGTTTTTATGGCCTTCACCATCAGTAATTCTGCGGGAAGACGATTGGAAAATGCAGCGTTCGCGCGCACGGGAAAACTATAGAAAAACGTTCAGGAAAACAAGGTAGAGTTTTCGTGGAGCAGGAAAACAATCGACAGACATTATCTTTTCACGGCATTCACCGTTAGTAATTCTGTGGGAAATTGCTTGGAAAGTGCAGCGTTCGCGCGCTGGGGTAAACTATAGAATAACGTTCAGGAAAACAAACTATATTCTAGCGTTTTCGTGGAGCAGGAAAACAATCCACAAATATCGTGTTTTCATGGCCTTTACCGTTACTAATTCTGTGGGAAAACACATGGAAAATGCAGCGTTCGGGTGCACGGGAAAACTATAGAAAAACTTTCAAGAAAACAGGTGATTCATTGGCATTTTCCTAGTGCATGGTAACATGCGATAAACTTCGCGTTTTTCTTGAGTTTTACTGAGGGTGAACAGTAAATTTGCCATCCTTGTTCAGATATCAGAAAACGTCAGTATAATGTTGAATTTCTCAGTCTTTTACCATTTCGGAAAATTAACGATGAACGAGGGATTTTGTGCCGTGCGTCAGAAAAAATTAAATCACACATCAATTAAAACTTTTGAGCAGGATTTACATCCACAAAACCACCTTCTAACGGAAAATTTACCTTTGACTTGTTCGTTACCTGTACCAGTGTCATGTTTTCCCCCTGTTCCATCGCCTTTCGGGTGCTCGCTCGTAACAGCTGGTACGATGTTTTGCTCCTTTCGTGGGTCATTTTTCGGACTATGCTCTTGATTAGAACCACAACCTGGGCAGAAACGGAATCCAGGTTGCAAACGCGTGTCTCCACAATTTGAGCACTTCATCGTGTAAAATCACGGCTGCATCTCGTTGTTTAAACGCTACTCGTGTCGCAAAGATATGTAGTCATTGAAGAGAAAATTACGCGTCGTGCGCTCGCATTCACATGATCCTTGCGAAGGTGAACCTATTCTTAGAAATCAGGCGGAAGTGCTGGGAATAAGAGACGACATCTGATTGGCTTCCAATTGTTAAGAGGCTGTCTCTCTTATTTCCACCCGGTCAATTTTGCGTCAAAAATAATTTTGCCTGAAACTCTGTTAACAGAAAGACTTTACCTAGGAAAGAACTAAATTAGATTTGGTTTGATTCGAAATAATTTTCTGACTGCATTACGGGCCATAATTATTTCCCAGTCCGTAGGGACCGTCGCAACGTCTCAAAAATTGAAAAATAGGCATATTTTGTAACGTTGTAAAATATTTGAGTCGCATAGTTAAGCCACAGAATTTATATCAGATTGCTTAAAAACCTTTCTAGTTTGCCAAGAAAGTTAGAATTTTCCCTCTCGACATATTTGAAAAGGCGAATTTTAGCATATTCTGACCACTAGAAATCGCCATCGGCCGATGGCCGTAAATAACCTTGATTTAGACGCTAAGTTTTGGGATTTGAGACCTGGTTGACGATTCTATCCTATACAGCCTATAAAGGTCTAAAATTAACGGCTGTATAGGATAGAATCGTCAACCAGGTCTCAAATCCCAAAACTTAGCGTCTAAATCAAGGTTATTTACGGCCATCGGCCGATTTATAGGCAAAAATATGCAAAAACCCAAACTGTACGATATAAATTCGTGGCTTATTTTATTTTACAACGTTACAAAATATGTTTTTTCATGACCATTTGAATCAGCACATGTACGAATCAAACCAAATCTAATTTAGTTCTTTCCTAGGTAAAGTCTTTCTGTTAACAGAGTTTCAGGCAAAATTATTTTTGACGCAAAATTGACCGGGTGGAAATAAGAGAGACAGCCTCTTAAATATTGAAGAAATGTAAAATGGTTTCCGTGTTTACATAGTAAACACGCGGGAGGTTGGGAGAACACGAGATAAGCGTAGGAAACCACGACACGAAGCGGAGTGGTTTCCAGCTTATCCAGTGTTCTCACAACCTCCCGTGTGTTTACATCAGGCTATGTAAACACGGAAACCATTTTACATTTCTTTTATATAATAACTAATGAAAGAGGAACGAAAACCGTGTTTACATACGCTCATGTAAAATGGTTTTATGGCCAATCATAGCGCGCGTACTATTCGATTTATTTTATAAATAGATTAAGCCAAGCCTAAAAGCGGAGAATAAAGGGGTAAGTTTCTAAAGAAACCATGGTGCTGCATCAGTGGGAGAGTATAGCAGGTAATTTAGTATTAACAACTGGGTTGGAAATGTAAATCAGCCACCGTAAAGGGTAAAAAAGCTGATGTTTCGAGCGTTAGCCCTTCGTCAGAGCAATAGTAATCATCTATGTAAATTCAATCGCTCTGATGAAGGGCTAACGCTGGAAACGTCAGCTTTTTTACCCTTTACGGTGGCTAATTTACGTTTTCAATCCAGTTGTTAACACTAAATTACCTGCTAAAGCGGAGCCCTGGTTAGTTTATTTTCTAGCCCCTCATTATAAAACTCTTCCGCACTGACTGTAGAAAAGTTTTTCCAAGGCGATCAAGAGACTGGTCCGGGGGATGGGGAGGGAAGGGAAGAATTGACGAGATCTGGAACCTGGGGACGACGTTCTCACAACTTGCAACGCGATCAGGAAAGCAATATATATCATCGTCCTAAACCAGATGAGCCCATGACATATCAGCGGCATCTTGTATGAGTATTTGCATGTTACAACGTGACTTCCGCTTATTCTTGTTGAAGCATATTTACAGTGTACTCATGGAATAGGAAGTTCGCATAGTGCATTTGAGCCAGTTTCTGGCAGATTTGAACAGAAAAGCGGGTCTTTTGTTGGAATGTAATGACATTTTGATCGATGGTGCAGTTAACGAAATGTTTGGCTGGTTCGTAAGTTGTCGACCTGGTTTGGGTCGATCTGATTGATTGACAACACCTCTAGGGCAATACATATCACCGTCCCAAACCAGATGAGCCCATGACACGTCAGCGGAATCGTAGCGGGAGTCTTCTATTTTTCTGCTGGTTTCCGGCAAATTAAGAGACCGTGACCTGTGTGACTGACGATAAAGCGTCGTGTTCTTCAATATTTTATTGCGAAAGTATTCTTCCCATAACTTGTACAAACTAATTTCTGTCTAGATCACATATTTAAGAAAAAATCTAGCCTGTTATAAAGGCGTTAAAAGGAGGATCGACACTTAAATATGACCGGCCTAATAGTTTCGGTCGATGTTATCCTCTGACCTCGCTATCATCGACCAAAAGCAGATTCAGGTCAAAGATCATTTGCATAACTTTGCACTGTAAAATCTTTCGATTGGAACAAACATACAGTTCTTTTCTGTTTGTTATAAATTATCTTTACGTTTTATTTGACCATGATCTCTTGGTTTTTGTTCAACATCTTATTTGCTACTAATAAATATATTTGCCAAGGGGTGGTCCAGTTAATTTTTAACAGTCATGCATTTATGTTGTGCGGCTCGTGGGTAAATATTGGCGGGAAATCTAAATGTTTGGTAGAAGAACAAACATGGCTGATAACAGTACACCTTGGGCTTCAAGATGGACCGTACAGTTTGACCCTTATTCCGGGTATGTTAACGATGAAAGCAGCGCTGACGAACTCATAAAACAGTACGAGATAGCTACGACGACACGCTTCACTGTATTTAAACAAACAGGAGGATTTTCAAATTGCAGTAGGCTGGGTAAGTAAGCTCAGATGTAAAGATTTACAAAACAAACCATACTGACAGCAAAGTAAAGTGAAGTATAATTTTATTTAGACACTATAGGTATTTAAAGCCAGGGGCGTGTGAGATCGTGTTATTAACATGAAATATAGATAAATCAAAATAAAAAAAGGGATTTAACTTTTTTCCAATAATTATTGATATCTTAAGAATACATGTACACATCATTATTCTTCGGTTTACACTGGTCAGTTAGACTTTCAAAATTAATGTAATTAAAATTCAACTTAGTTTCAAGTGTCAATTTACTGTGAGCCTGCAGCAAGAGTTGGCAAGAAATGCTTAATTAATTAAGATTAAGCTTAAAGTGTCAAAACCCTACTCAGTGCTATTGACACACAGCTGCCAGCATCCCCATCCATTACACCAGTCCTTGGGCTACATCTGGGTGGGGCAGGCTTGATTTTCAGGCCCTCCATTTTAAGCACCCATGTGTATATATGTACGTATGTGTTTGTGTACATGTATCATATTGCTAACTTAGCTCGGTTCCTCTTCTCACATAAAAACGTAGGAGTAAAAGAAAATGCAGATAAAAATGCTAAGAACCACTGTATACAATGGGCTTACTCACAGGAGATGACAGGATGCAGACTAAGTTTTGATGGCATCCCATTCCAAATTGTGGGGGTCAAAGTTTTAGAATGCCAAAATGGGCCAGACAGAAATAAGGCACTCAAAAGGAAGGAGGCTCAAAAGAGACTATAAAAAGATGTAAGCATGCATAATAATTAACTAAATAAGAATGTAAACAAGATGATATTATTACTTAATAAGGACTCCCAAAGAGGATATCATATATAGGGCATTACATAGTTATTGATTTACCTTCACCTATTTGCTCTTAAGCTAACAAGGTGGTAAGTCCCAACTGATTTTTCTAAGCAAGTTGGTGAGCACTCACCTCTCCCTCAGGGCTAATAGCATGCAATAATGTTTTCTTTTTTACCACTTGCAAGTAAAAGGACATATCACATTTTATTTGTTAAAATAAGCAAAGTCGCAAAAAAGGACCACTGTGACTGCAGTTTACAAGGTAGGAATCAAGTACTATTTTAAAGGATACTTTTCATTACTTCTAAGTTTATTGATAACTTTACTATTCCCATATGACTGCTCTATCTAACAATCCAATAAATCTATTTGGTTTCAGAAGGAGAATGCTGATCACTGCTATAACAACACCAAACAGCACTTTAGCAAAGATCCACCTAAGGAAAATAATCAAGTATCCTGAAAATAAGGTCAGTTTATTTAAATTATTGAATAAGGGTTCAGGGGGCACTACCATTAACATGAATGATCACTAGCCTAATAAAGGATGCTTAATCCCAATGGGCCTTGTGTTACATATAGGTGAAGTGGACATATGATAAGACAACCTGGACATTTCATTGTGCAGAATTGAAACAAATTTACCTGTAATGGAAACAGAGTGAATATTTTAGAAACCAATTTTTCAAATATTATTTTAATTAAAACATTGTATCATTAGATTTCAGAGAACACAAAGAGTAGAAGGGAGACAATGTCAAAATTTCTGAGAACATCCCTAGAGTCAGAAAAGAAGCAAACAATAGCTACAGAGGAGTGTATTTACATATTACTTCCTAAACCTACAGATCACTTATTTCACCCCATGGGGAGGGTAAGTACTTGGCCATCAATTAAATTTTTTTTGGAATCAGGAAACTGAAGTTTGGTGGGGGATTTAAGGTGACTTAACTTAACACAGATCATCAGTCTACTGTAGACTGTGCTGCTTCCACTGTCATGTGGAATATATATAAAGAATGAATAAAGATTATACATCACAACAAAAGACCAATTAAATGTACTACATGTACAGCTTCTTTTAGCTACACTGGCAGTTATTCCTCAAACTCAATGTCAAGACTGTAATATCACAATTTTATCAGAGAGGGATTTCCACTGGCACTGTTTTAATGGAATGCTGTCATGGACTATTTAAATGGATTTTCTTAAAAAATACAGTGTTCAGTAATCTGTAATTATAACATTCTGTAACTATTACTGAAAAACTCTACCAGAGGACTACCTATGGTAATGTTGGTATAATTTGCATTATTATTCATTCAAAATATTGCCCTGTTTCTGATAGGTTAAAACCACTCGCATATTTCATCATAACCAGCTGCTGTTGACCAAATTTGGAAAAAAATTTCTCATATTGAACCAATGACATCAAAAGCAGCTGGCTCCAGGTTATTGAACTGTTGACCAAGAAAACCTGGGGATGAGGTTGTGTAATTTTTTTAAATGAATAAATAATAAAGCAATTATTCTTTCTTTCTTGTTGTGTAATCAGACTGCTGGGCTACTTCAGCCTATTGATGAGACACTGGTTAAAAAAATTCATGAGCTTGTTGGAAGTGGTGTTAATTGTGTTTCTGAAATGCAACAGAACCTGCATCATTATGTAAAGAAGGAACTTTTCACAGGCCAACAGCCTCCAGATCTAACCAACAGACGGTTCTTCCCAACAACCATGGATGTCAGGAACCACATGTATCATGCCACAGTGGTATGCAGACATTCACAAATTGATCAAGAAAACTTTGACTTAAAAATCAATAAGTGGAAAGAAGTAAGCCCAGATGATAATTTCTTTTTCAGGCCTTACTGCCTTACAAGTGATAGTGAGTCCTATCAACAACCACAGTCACTGAAGGAAGAAGACAGCACTGATGTAATTAAAATAAGTATAGGTGATCCATCCAACAACCTCCTCCTTGTTCACCAGACGAAGTGGCAAAGAGAGCTGCTTTTAAAGTATGGTGGTGAAATTTGCCTACTGGATGCAACATACAAAACTTCACGCTTATTGCCCTCCCCACATTCTTTCTGTGTGTGAAAACCAATGTAGATTACTGTGTTGTTGCTTCTTTTGTGGTTCAGCTGGAAAATGCAGATGCCATTAATGAAGTTCTACAGCTCATTAAGGACTGGAACCCAACATGGAACCCTGATTTCTTTATGGTGGACTTCAGTGAGGCAGAGATCAATGCCATTGAAAGGCTGTTTCCAAGTAAGCATGTAAACATATACTGGTAAATATCGATAATAACCATTTTCTTTATTTCATGTGGGAAATATAGAGAGGCAATACTTATTAGGAATAACTTCTTCCCCCCCCCCCCAAAAAAAAAAAGAAAAAAAATTCTTTCTTACAGGACTAAAATAATGACAATAAATTATTGCCAATTACCAGTAATTATCCAGACATTCCAAAATCATTACTTTAATTTCATGAAAATATCAACAGTGTTCATACTTGTCCTGGAAAACCTGGAAAGTCCCGGAATTTTATTTTGGCATTTCCACAACTGGAAAGTCCCGGAAAAAGGCTTCTGGTCCTAGAAAGTTTTGGAAATCTTTTAGAATCAGTTAAAAAATAAGAAATGTGTAGATGATGGTAAGGACAATTAACATTGAGATCTTGGAAGCAAAAGGGTCAATATGTATTTTAGATTCCTGGAAAAAATCAATATTACTATTATAACAATAATGATAATAATAAATTACTATTATTATTATTATTATTATTATTATTAGCATTATTAGTATTATTTTTAGTAGTAGTAGTAGTAGTAATAGTATTATTATTTTACTCCATGGCTCACAGGTCATGCTAGGCCCCCTTCGTTGGTAGTTTAATTTTTAGCATACAATAGGCCTTGTGTTAGCTGAAGTGGTTGGCAGCATGTATTCTCTTATCAGAGAGATTTTACAACTCAGTTTTATAACTGTTCCAGGCTGTCTTGTGTATGTTTGTGATTTCCATCGAGAACATGCATGGGTACGGTGGATCAACAACTCAAAGAATGGCATTAACAAAGACAAGAAAGACAACCTCCTGAACAGTTTGCGAAACCTTGCAAGAACTTCCACAGAAGGGGACTTCAATTTAGCACTTAGAGATCTTCAAGACAGTGAACTGTGGAGGACCAATACAAGACTCCAAAAGTGGATGAACACAACATGGCTTCCCGAAAGACAGGCAAGTGTATCCCTTGTATACATTATAATAATTGTGGAATTATCCCTTATAAATTATCCAGCAACAATTCAAGATTTTTGGCTTAAAAATTACACACATTTTATTATGTTCACTTAAAATCCTTGTCGCTCTGACTTTAAACATAAAACAGGCCACCTCCTTGGATGATGTCATTTTGGGCCATTAATCATTCAGCACAAGTCTGAGATGAGTCCAAGATGCTCTTATAAGGAGATCTGCAAGGTGAAAATCAGATTACATGCAGCTTATATTCATGAAGTTTACTTGGACACTTTGTTTCTATTGGCAGCACTGGGTTTGGGCATACAGGAAGGACCGCTTCAATGTGAAAGTGAACACTACCAATAGTGTGGAAAGAAAGAATAGGACATATAAGCACCAGTTTTTTGCAGACAATAGAGACAAGACCTTAAGTGGTGTCATCACCGTTTTAGTGACACAATTTCTGCCAAATGAGTACAGAAGGTAAGGAATCAAAAGCTCATCTTTACCTTAGATCTCAGTGTGTTATATATTGATATCACACGACTATGATTTTAGGCCTAAGGTGTTTTTAGAGAATGTAGATATATAAAAGTTTTTTTTCTACAAGTGAGAAGGATGTATAAAAGTGTCATGCTTACTCTGGGATGAAAATTGCCTGTAAGAATTTCATGCATGATACTTATAGACCCACATTTAATCCATAGGTTATATTCTACAAGTTCAAATTGAAATACTTAACATTTAGGAGGAAGCTCAAGCTGAATATTGGAATGTTGACCGTCGGTGTACTGTCATCACACAATCATCTTAAAATTGTGAAATATGTACATCAATTTATTTAATACAAGTTTGAAGGCTAATCATATGATAAACTTCTGATTAAGTACCTCTTCAGAAATTTCGATACATATAAGTTTAACCCAAATGCAATTAAAATTAATACTTATCTCTCTCGAGTATTCTGATGTCATTGTTCTTCTGTTCACTTGGCAGCTGTGAGGTTTAGGTGGATGGTGTGTAGGATTTCAGAGGTGTTGCCAATCAATCAGATCGACCGAAACCAGGTTGACAACTTACGAACCGGCCAAACATTTCGTTAACAGCGCCATCGATCAAAGTATCATTACAGTCCAACAAAGGACCTGTTTTTCTATTCAAATCTGGCAGAAACTGGCTCAGACGCACTACGCGAACTTCCTAACACTCGAGTACACTGTGAGTACGCGTCAACAAGAAAAAGCGGAAGTCACGTTGTAAACTACGGATACTCTTACAAGATGCCGCTAATATGTCGTGGGCTCATCTGGTTTAGGACGATGATATATATTGCTTTCGGAGATCAACACGCAAGCCGCTATCTCAAGTAGTAAGGCCGACACAGCGGCAAAATAAGTGCGCATGATCGGCGGATTTTGCGCTTTCGAGGAGCGATTAGTGACTCCAGCGTGGGTGAAGTTTGCCGAAGAACGAACAGAACATCGTTTTACACTTTTTGGGACTGATATTGATGTGATCCGACCGGAAATTTTTTTAATGGAGTTTGTTCTTATGGAAAAATCTGAAGGGTAAGTAAAACTATTTTAGACATTGTTGAACTAAAGCTGACTTAGATTTATCCAGACAGCTCATTGCGTGTTCCCGTTCCTTTCAGCAATTTTATTTACAAATCGCATTTCGTCAACGGTATTTGTTCAGTACATGCTTTAAACTTGAAAAACTTTTTGATGTAAACTCTTTTGGTAGTAAAAGCTGTTTTACAATCTAAATTAGTCTTGAATCTGTCGGTCGTTTGCTTAAGTGAACGTTCTTTTGATCGACACAAGCTCAGTGTAACAGTCTACCAAGCAATACCGCCCTATTGCTTCCCCCAGCATAACGTAAATGTGATAGATGCAATAACATTTATACTTGACACATATCTTAACCTTCTTTACGTCTGGAAATATGTCGATATAACTTTTCGATCAACTGCCGTTGTTTGACGTTTACATGCATCTCTTACCACAGTGTTACCTGAAGTTGATGAAAGTAACCGTACACAAATTCACCGTCGCAGATAGCTTTGACTTCAGCCAGTCTAATAGTTCTTCAATGTCACTGCGTTGAGACTGTGCAAGTAAGGTGCCTTTTGGTAAGTGGAGGTGGCTATCCATTAAGATGATGTTGTCATTTACATCACTTACCTATGAAATAGTTAAACCATTAACCCTTTAACTCCCAAGATCTCATTGGTAATTCTCCTTACAGTCTGCCATATAGTTCTTTTGACATTAGTTTGGAGAATTTGGTATTGGGTCAACCAATAATCCCCTAATTAAGATTTTTCTTTATTCTCATCACTTGTCTGCTTGATATTGTACTGATATTGTAAGGAGAAATTCTTTCTTGGTCACTTATGGGAGTTAAAGGGGTAATTATTGTAAAAGCAGCATTTGTGTCGGTAAGTCTTTTACTAGGTGGAAACTCAGAGCAGATTCCTCACTTGAATTAGTCTACTTGACAAAACAAACAGTTAACTCCTCTTCATAACTTAAACTACCCAGGCTGCTTCTGACAAGAGGTATGGCTTCAACAACACCAAGATATGATAGTGACTGCATGAAACTGTCATATACCTGATTCTCCCCATCATACATGATATCCAGCTTGGAGTCAGTGGTTGGTGGTTTTTCAGTTGAAGGAAGGATTTGTTTGTTAAGTATGTCTTTGCTAACAACAAAAAAAAGACTGTACAAGCATTGCTGCCTTGACAACCCCCAATTGTTGACTGAGATAGGAAGGCTGGAAGTTCCCAGAATGTGACTGATTGTGTTGTTGAAGATGGAGCATGTATTGAAGTGGATTGTGGTGGTACACTTAAGTTAGAAAATTGTTGTTGAGATACTGATGGTGTTGTTGTTGAGATTGATTGTGTGATTGTAAAAGGTAAGGGCAGGTGAGGTGAGAACCTCAAGATCTTTGGTGGCAAGGTTACCCACAGTTGAAAAGTAGTTTTAGTGTGAATTTGCAACTGAAGCAGGCCTTTTTGTGCTATGTCCTCTTTCTTGAGTTGTCCTGTGTGGAACACTTGGTTGTGGTATAACTAGCTGTGCCATACTTCTAGTTATCATATTTCTCCTGTCATGGGACTTGTAAAAGTCTGAATACCTAGAGGCATGTGTTGCTAGCTGGCTTTTGGGCTGTTCATGACTATTGTGGCTGTCTGCAATGTTGCTACTTGTATCATGCTCTATAATACCTTTATTGAAGGAATCACCTACCTCATTTACTCTTGTTAGAAAAGGATCATTGCTCCATCAACTGGATGGGCAACTGCTATGGCTGGGAGACTTGATGCCATATGAATTGCCACATTAGCTTTATCAGTTGGTTTAGTAGGCATATTCATAACATGAAAATCATCAATAAAATGGATAACAAGTTTTTTGGTCTTATTTCATTGATTGCTTATGTTTTTACAAAAGTTTTTATGTTTATTGTTCATTCTAATTTGTTTTCCTTTATCCTGCAGGCTGTCAGCACAGTTTTTTCCACAACTTCCTCATGGTTGTTTTGCCTGCTGCTGTTTAAACATGTCATTCATACATATTCCACTGCTAAGGCCCAAGACTCTCCCTGCAGTCTGTGCAGACCTGGTTAACCATGAATATCAAGGAACATTTCAGCTTATTTCTGGAGCTGTGATGTTTTCAGGGATCTAAGGGAAATTGTATATTATCCTGTTATCATACTCAAGAACAAAGGTTGTTTTTTTACCAGTGACTGCTGACACTGTCAGAATAAAGCTGACATGGAAATTTTGTAAATTATATGAAATGTAATAATTTTTTATTCTTCTAATGGCAAAACGTTAGGCAGGTAGGCTACTTGTGAAGTAGTGCAACTATTCTTTGCTGCTGTGAATGTGAGTGCCTTTTCACTGGTGGCATGTCTATCTGCACCCACTATTGTACTGATGAGGATGTAAAAGAGATGTGGTGCACAAGTCTCACAAAGTGCCTGCATATCATCAGATCTGTATAGAGATTGACCCACACTCTCATAGTGCCTGTGCAATGCAGACTGAAATTTTTCTACCAGCTCTGCAAGATTATGTAGAAAATGCAATAATAATGTATTTGACCGCTCTGTGAGTTATATAGAAATATTTTCAACAATGAACATGTAACCGAAGAAGTTACAATTGTAACTTCTTCGGTTACATTAATTAAATCTGCAAACCAGAGTAGCATCAAACCATGTCTGATTGTCCGCCTGGTTGCCGTGTGAACTTTCATGAACATGCGTTTACTTGTAAAATGTGAGCTCAGTGCAGAACCTTTATCAGTGTTATATTATTACCTGATCGATGTTATCATGGAGATGTTTAACCCTGCAGGTGCAATCATAGCATAACTATGATTATTAGCAATATGGTGGATTGGTTACCTTTCTTAGATTATGTCCAGGCATAAGTAAGGTACTTACTGTGATGAATGTTGAGAAATTGGATTTACCAGCCTGTGCACCAATTTCCTGACTCTCTTTGTGGAGCTATTGAATTTTGGTAGAGCAGTTAGTTTTGCAGCATACATTTAACTGTCATAGCTTGTTAATCACATTGGCCATCTGTCGAATCTGCTTGGCACTCCTGCTGAATTTTGCATGGCACCCATCTCCATTTTGCATGAATGTTTTTTTGTTTAAGTTATTGATCTTCTCATGGAAACAAGGTGATCATTTGCTTTATTGTTTATTATGTAAATGGGTGAAGTATGTAAACCCAGGTTATCTAGCAGGAAATGAAAGCCTTTGAATATAACTACCTAAAGTAAAGTGGTCCTTGAGGCACATGTTTTGTCAGCATTGCTCCAACAACTTGTTCACCACAGTTTCCCTGGTTGATAACAAGCCTCACTTTTTCCAGCATTGTCAAATAGTTTGTACTGTCTCATGGGAATAGGTGTATCACTCAGAGGGGAAGAATGTGAAAGTAGTGGGCACGATCAGGTGTTGCTCCTTTTTCGAATTTCTGATAGTGACATTCAGACAACATTTCCTGGTTCCACCTCCGTCACGAGTTATTTCAGTGTTAAAGGCAATTATGCTTCCTCTACAAGAAGAGCTCTGGCGTGTTTTTTCTCCCAAACAACAAACCTTTTGGCCGGGCAGTTTGCCATACTGGGGAGACGATGAAAACAAGTGCTATAACAATACAGAGGGCTACGAAGTTCATTGCCATGTCACGACCGCTCCACTTCAATACTAAAATTCATACCTGTGCCCTGAATATTTTTTTGTTGGGAAAGATATGTTGCAGAGCAGGTTCGAAAGAAACTTTCTTGAAAGTGGGAACCTTATCTGTCAAGGCTAGGGCTTATCCTCGCCAAATAAAAACAAACAAGATGAATTTTAAAAATGCCGCCATATCGTCGCTATAGTGTTACCATGGAAATATTGTCATTCTCATTCCTTTTCGCGCGTAAATTTTCAAGCATGCGCACTCATTTTGCTGCTGTGTCAGTTTCTTAACCCTGGAAATAGCAATTGGTTTCCTGTCTACAGCAGGTGGAGATCCAGAGAGAAAAATCTTTGATTATCTCAAGAACGTTCTTCATCTCAGTGATGGAAAGTCGAACTTAAAGAGTAAAAAGATATGAAATATTGCTTGATTCTATTGATCGATAGGCCATGATTAATACATTGAGTTTTCGAAACAAAACTCTGGTGAAGTAGGAAATCTCCCTACCTGTTCCATATTTTCTCCACCAAACGCTGGACCTCGATTAGACGTTAGGTTCACATAAACACTGCAGAGAAAGTGCAGTTATAGATGAAATTTTTTTTTGCATCCCCGGCGTTTGGTCAAGTAAATAATCAACTCTTCTGAATGCATCTCTATGAAATGCTACTTTCATAATTAATGTAAATGGATGCTCAGTGGAAACGTAATAATCTTGGAAGAAGTCCCAGTGACTGTTTGATGTGGCTGAACAAAGGAAAAATTTTGCCTTCTTGACAAATACTTCCCGGTCTCGAAGCAATGAAAGACAGCCTCTTATGGTCAAACTCCGGTCTCGCTTAAACTTGAGTTCATCAATCTTTTGCTTGGAATGCAAATTGAACATCCTGCTCAACTTCATATTACGTTCATTGAATTTAGTTCATATCTACTTACTGCTTCTTTGTGCCTTTAAATGGATGGCCGGGGAACAAATCCCCTCTTCTGCGAATCTTGACAGAATACCGCTAGAGACTTTTGATTTGTCAAGGGCTTAACATACTCCACGGATGTATGGAGTTTCTTTGCAGGACGATATACGTTATTGTTATCTTTCTTTGTGTGGGTCACATTTTGGATCTGTGGTCCACACTGGCCGTGGCGCGAGCAAAATTCTTGTTTAAGAATGAACAGGTACCTTTTTGTAGAAAAATGTAATCAAATTTGATGAATGTAATCCCTTTCTCACCCAATATTTTCAATATTTTTAGTAGGTTCGACCGTGATTTTATTTGTCTGTTCAAATTAAACCGATTTTATATTTTTCAATTTCTTTAGGATCCATTTGAGAAGATACCAGAAATTTATAAACAAGAGATACCGCGACTTGCAGTCACACGCTTCAGTGCAACATTGAAAAAAATGAATGTTGATTTGTTTTTGAGTAGAGTTGTCGAGGTCATCACTTTAGTGCTGGCTCATGAAGAAGACACAAGAAGTAAATTGAGGTAATTCCTGCGTAAAGCATTGATGAATCTACAGAGCAAAAGTTCTTTCAAACAAAAGTATATGACCTTGTAATGAAGTATAAGCAGTGTTTTTACTACCATAACTAACGGCAACCTTTTTTTTTTTCCGATAGCCTGTTTACTCAATATTGTTCTCAGGGAATACTTAACTACTTCCTTCGTTTTCAGCCTCAGTGAGTACTTATCAATGGTTTTTGACGATGGCTCCGACCTGGAAGAGGTTCCCAATGAAGTATGTGTAATGCACGTGGTTCATGCGTTCAAGCTCGCGGTAGAATTGCGTGAGAAAGATTAAGGAAGCAGAAGGTCCATGTTGTCCTAGGGCGTTAATTATATAATATGGGGAGTTCGAGAACCTTTCAAACTGTCGTTCATTGGCCAGCTGAACTTCCAGAAATTACGTTTCCATGCCTTATTATACTTTCAAGTACTTTCCAAACTATTTCCCATGATTTATATTCTTTTCAAATATTTTTCATTTGACATTCTGCATGAGCTCAAATATACTACTGAGATGAGACACTTTCCAGATTAGAATATAAGAAAAATCAATTTACATATTACCAGAAAAATTATGAGCATGAAAGGGTAACATGTCGTTATAAAATAAGGTCGTACACTAAAGGCAGCTCATAAATAAAACTTTTAGCCATTTTAAATAGCACGTTATACAAGAGCACAACAATGCACATGAATTAACCAAAACGTTTGGCTAGTAATGGTTAGCGATGACTTCTGCCTCATAGACATCAACGATGCCTCAAGGTGACGTTAGATGATTACATGATTATACGGACAGTGCAACCCAAGAAATATCCAAGAATAGTACCTTTACAAATAAATTTTAAGGGTTTAAACGTTCATAAAGTTATTTTCTATAAAGCCTTCGTCTCCTGACGTTTTTTTTTACTGAGTCATATCGCAATAGCCACTGACTCTAAAACGTCTGTCTCTATCTGTGAAAGGAAGAAAAAAAATTGAAAACAACAGGTATGGAAAGGTATTTTTTACTAAAATCAGAGAAAAAGGTGGAATGATTGAACATTCACACCGGTATCTTAACCCACAATTCCAAAGGAGAATAGACTACATAGTTGTCTTTTTATTTCTTCCCTCATTTCAAAATATCGACTTCATATTCTAGATTATAATTTAAACTTTTTGTAGTCCTCGAGACTCCAAACTTTTTCTAAAGTTCCAGTAGGTTTATATCCTTTAAATCCTTTAACCCCTGCAGGGCCCAACACGATGCCGTTTATTAAAAGAGAAATAGCTTTGTTACCTTGAGACTCCAAGCTAATGGTATGACGGCCCTGAGGCACGTCTGAAGCCAAGAAGTAAACACGAGTTTGATAATGAACGCTACCAAAAGCTTTCCCAATTATGGCTACCGCTTTCTTTTTGTCTTTGTCGAGCCACATCACTACACGACCCGAATTTTGCCTCATTCTTCGTAAAATGATACCTAAAGACCATTTCTTGGGTGGAACTTGTAAGGAGAACTCTATAAAGCTTCCTTGTCGAAGAGACACCCAGCCACCGAACGCATCAGTTCGACGGTCTGATGGAAAGCCCATTTTTGCTTTGATGCTTTCTAATGGAAGCTCGCTGAAGCGCCGTTTTTTGTTGACCTTTACATCAAGAGACTGGTGCACAGTGGATTTTCCCCATCTTGGGTTTGTAGATGCCCAACAATGAGGGTTTGTAACCAGTATCGAGCTGCTGGTAAATAAAGGGTCCTTCATTGGAGATTTCTCACAGAACAGCTGCTGGCTCGTTCGTTGAAGAATCTTCTGAAAGTAACGGATTTGCATGAGAGCTACTTGAGCGTGTCCTTTAATATCAATATGCAGATGATCATCATTAACCATTCCCGGCCGTATGATGGCTTTTCGGATGCCATTAGCTGAATTCACTGGACAAAGTATGTCACGCCAGCTTAGCAAGGTAATTCCGTAATGAGTTGCGAGCTCGTGTTGTCCCAAATCTTCCAAATTATGACATCTTGGGTTCTTAGCAGTGCTAAGAGAAGCACCCTTCTTGACCAAATCAACCAAGCTTATGTACAGAACTAATGGAAATGACTTCAAGGATAATACTCGTCGCGTGAGGAGTTCCATGGGCCGCGCTGTTGCACCGTGTATGCATCCATAATCGTTTACTGATAACTCGATAAACACTATATCTGGTTCATCATCTGTTGTTATGAAATTCTGCAGGCAAAATGTAAAGAAATCGCTTCCTGTCCCTCCAAGTGACAAATTTTCTACCGTCAACTTGGAGCCAGTCGTTGTTGAAATCACTTTGTCCCACCACTGAGAGAACAGTTGGTGATATAAACGCCTGTGATTTTTTATTCCACCACCGGCTGAATTTGATCCACCAATCACAATCATTTTGACAGGCTCACCCCGGAATATTTTGTTCGTCAGTGTCGTCACACGGCAAGGATCAGTAATGTCATTTATGTGGATTGCCTTGTTAATGTCGTCTTCTGTGACACTGAGATCATTGATGC